GGTAAGCGTTAGAAAGCCGTCCGGATCTCTGCGCCAAGCGAGCAATGAACCCCCGCCGCGGCGCAAAAAGGTGCCCGAATAGGGCAGGCAGTGGTCCCCAAGAACGCAGTTAGCTGCGGAACGTCCTCACTCGCCCACATTCCCTCCTCATTCTCACACCCACTAGCGCTTGAGTAGGGGAGCAAGGAGGGGGCGGGCCAGGCCCAGCCCCTGGGGCGGCTCCTTTTAAGAGGGGTCACTTTCACCCGCCCTGAGAGTCCACGCAGGATGGTGGCGTGTCCCAGCTGCCCTCTCAGACACCTGGCCACACTAAGTGGTCCCCTTCCACTCTCCTTCCCTGCATTAGATACAAACAAGTGCAGAAAACCTTGTGAGGTTGAGGGGGAGGGGTTTCCAGGGTGTCTCTTCCCCTCGGGGCTTGCGGCTGGGTACTCGGGATCCCAGCCGGGCTCTCCCGTAGGCGAGTCAGCTTTGGAAACGCATGGCTGCCACCTAGAGGCTCAGAGGCTTCACTGCAACCCCAGCCCGGGCTGACTACGACCAGGAGGAGCCAGCAGGACTCTGGTCAGCGACCACTCCAGGCCCAACTCTGGTCTCCTGGCTTGAGACTTGCTGCCCTTCGCATGCTAAGCAGTTTGACTCCTTTAACCAGGACCCCTCTGAGGACATCTCTTCTCACCGCCTCTGCCCCTTTTGAGGCGTTACTCTTATCCTCCCCACCAACCTCAAAACGATGTTCTTGTCACATGCAACCGCTGGACTCTGGAGCCCAGACAGCAAGTCTCTGGACAAGCTCAAAAAAACAAAACCCAGGAATCCAAATTACTGGGTTTAAAACCTCCTGTGTCATTGGCTGGGGTTGATGTTCCCATTTCACTGGCGTGTAAACTGAAGGAGGTGCTATTGAACGCTGCTATTCCCTAGTCACGGAATATGAAATGGCAACAATTGTCCAAAATACCAGGCCTCTCGGCCAGCCATGTGAGGCTCCCTTTCAAAGCTGAGGCTGTCTTAAACAGATAGCCTGTTTCAGCATTGGACACAAGTGCAGAAAACCTTTTCAAAACTAGTTGCCAGCCCTGACTGGTTTGGCTCAGTGGATAGAGCGTCGGCTTGCGAACTGAAGGGTCCCAGGTTCGATTCCGGTCAAGGGCATGTACCTTGGTTGCAGGCACATCCCCAGTGGGGGGTGTGCAGGAGGCAGTTGATTGATGTTTTTCATCGATATTTCTAACTCTCTATCCCTCTCCCTTCCTCTCTGCAAAAAATCAATAAAATATATGTAAAAAAAAAAAAAAACTAGCTGCCAAGTGATGGGACAAGTTCTTGTGTGAAGTGCTGGGCTGAAGATACTTAGACATTCTCATTGCCAGAACGGGACTTGCAGTTACTGGTAAGTCCCAAGTCCTAGAGAAAACGAACCTACCCCAAGATAGGTGCAATGGCCAGATGCCACAGTCATGGACAGAAATGCCCTGCCGGGCCCACGCCATCACCACCATCCTGGAGCTTGTGTTTGTATGAAGAACTCTGACAGACCAGTCAAGAGGTAGTTTTGGCCAATTGCAGTGTTTGAAGTATCTCCTGGCTAAGAATCTTCCAAGTTTTCTATCCTGTTCTCTATTACTTTTAGATGGAATAGGTCTGTATGTTCTAAAATGCTTGCAATTCTTTTCAATGCTCAAAGCATATTTGTCCATCTCACAAATAAGACTGTCACTCAAATACAACTGACCAAAGAGTTGTCAAGAGAACAGTTCTGAGTAAGGATATAAACTCAAGTCAGAGGTCCTAGATTTGAGTATTGCTTCTAACATTTACTTAGAAAACTACAGCAAGTCTGTGCTTCCTACCAACAAACCATGGCTAAGAACAGTAACAACTCAGTTGTGTTACTGAATGAGGTCAGGCACACATGAAGGCTCCAGGAGCTTTTAGCTTTTATTAATTTGCTCATTATGATTTTCAGGTTATTTTCAGTTTTCATTTCATGAAGTTGGGAGGTGGGAGCATGCTCAATTTACAGTTGAAGGTGTTCAACCTGACTCCAAATCCAGTCATTTTATATAGAGTTCACATAACATACATGAATCTTAAATGTTCTTTCCATCTGAATATGGCGTGTTCATATAGCACTTAGTATGTGCCACTATTTGTCATTTCTCAATTTAATTAGCACTTAGATCCTGTGTAGTGGGTCCTGGGTGAAGAAGGCCAATAAGCAGAGCTGACCGTGCAAAGGAATATTCCAGCCAAAAGACGTCAAGTGCCTGCAAGTAGGAAAAGGCTGGGTGGCAGGCAGGGTTGGCCAGGGGGAAGAGTGGGAGGAGATGAGGGTGAGAACAGGCGATGCTTGGTCATCCTTTGCAAAGGCCTTTTTTCCTAAAAGGTACTATTTACATAAAAAATGTAAATGCATGTTTCAAGTGTACTTGGAGTTTAACAAATGGAGTTTAGTTATGCAAACACCTTTCCAGGTAACCTCCCCACACCCATCACTCGACCCAAGTTACCATTAATCTATTGGGTCTAGATTCTAGTTTCACATAATGGAACCATATATTATGTGCTTGTGTCCAGCTCCTTTTGCTCAGCATGTTTTTGAGACTCATCCTTGTCTGTTGTTGCTTTTATCTAGATGTTCCTTTTTATTGTCAAGTAGTACTCAACAGTGAGGATATACCAGCTTGTTTGACAATTTATCAAAGGCTTTGAAACTGAAGGTTAAACTCGTTTTTAGAAACTGCAGGTGAACTGGCAGCACGTAACAGTGGCAGCAGGGAGCAGGCTGCCAGTCCAGGCCAAAGTTCGGTAGTTGGGATTAGGTGGCCGTGCTAGTCCTGCTGGAACCATCAGACCTGCATTTCATCCCCAGCTCTAGGCTAGTGAACTCTCAATTTTCTGAGATTCACATCTCACATCTGCAAAACCCCTGGTTGCCTTAAGGGAAATTGAGAAGGTATGTTGACTGCTAGCCCAATGAATGTCAGCCCCGCAGGGCAGGTACCTGCTTTGCTTACTGACTAGTCCTAAACACTTGATAGTCAGTATATATCCAAACTAGAGGCCCGGTGCACGACATTCGTGCACTGGGGGTGGGGGTGGGGGTGTCCCTCAGCCCAGCCTGCGCCCTCTTGGTCCGGGAACTCTCAGGGGATGTCCAACTGCCAGCTTAGGCCTGCTCCCCCCAAGGGGTCCTTAGCAGTGCCCCAGAGGCAGGTGACTCCCGCCACTGCCGCTGCACTCGCTGTGCCAGCCAGCCGTGAGCCCGGCTTCTGGCTGAGCGACACTCCCCATGTGGGAGCGCACTGACCACCAGGGGGCAGCTCCTGCGTTGAGCATCTGCCCCCTGGTGGTCAGTGCACGTCATAGCTACCAGTCATTCTGTCATCCGGTCAATTTGCATATTAGGGTTTATTATATAGGATGTTTAGATCCTTCCTATCTCATTTTCAAGTGAAAGTTAAACTAACAGCATCTCAATCTGTTTCAGCCTCTCTCCAATGATAAAACTCTTAAGTGTCAGGTTATCTGCAGAATACAAACTTTTTAAACAAAGATGGGAGAACCTTCAGCCCAAGACCATAAAACAAATGCAGCCTTCCAGTCTTCAACAGGATCAAGCAGTTTAATAAGAAAAGTACACCCTTAGCAGAGGAGGCTCTAAAATTTTCTCAAAACCACCTCTTGAAGCTTTCACAGCACTAAAACGGGACCTCTACTGCCAAGTTTGAGTCAGGGAGCAACTGGCTCCTTGGTGAGAAATGGCTGGAAGACAGCCTTAACTTTCAGAAATAACTTTAACTCTATCATCTCAATAGCCCACACCACTCATTATCTTTGATTAGTAAGCTCAGTATTTGTGACCCTCAAAATTTTGCCCTTGAATAAAAGCCCCACACCCTTGACAATGTTTACCTCCCTTCATTGAGCTAGTAGTCAAAACCATATACTCCCTTCTGCACGCTTTGTGACATACCACTAAAACCTCCATCCATCACGACCCATCATTTTGCACGATCCAGTTCAAACAGCCCAATCTGCTCTCCCCAAACGGCCTTATTAACCTGTTGTTCTCTGGTGAGGCTGAAGGTAACAGCTCTAGTTCTCACCCATGACCTAACCTTACACGATTAAGGCATCAAATGAAGAGAAGCTTCCTGCAGCCAGCCTCCAAGTGCTCTTACAATCCCCCCCTTGCTTTTCCCAAAGGGTGTGATCTGCTCATCCAGTCAGCTAATCATCGACAAGCAGTGCTCTCACCCACTGTGGTCTCTGAATACCCGTTTTCTCAAGAACCAAAGCTCCTTGGAGGAATGGATCAATCCAGGTCTGAGAAAATGAAGATGCTTGACATCAAAGACTACTGGAGTCCGTGATGGTAGGAGCAAGCTTGAAGGGGATTCCGTTGCACAAAGATAAAATACACTGGACTGAAACACAAATACCTAAAAGTCTGGATTCAGGATACTTAAACTCACTAGTTACTCTGAGGTTGCTAGGACATGAATCCATCGTCCTGAAAATTGGCAAAATAAAACATCAAAAATATTTTTCAAAGTTAGGTACAAATGGAGGCAATAAAAGTGGGGATTTTAAAGAAAATGCTTGCAGAATAATGAATGGTATTTTGTTTAGGCTAAATGTTCATGTTCAGTAGACTGGCTTATGGGAAATACAGTTGATTCAAGCAGCAAGTACTTTAAAAATGCAAACTGCAGACCCACCTAAAGCCAAGTAGTATCCTAGTGAAGGTACTATAAACCCCAAACTTGATAATAAACCAGCTTCTCTTTCAGCTTCCTCCACTATTGATCAAGATTTTTTACTAGGAAACACAGGAAATCGTTTTTTCCCTTATTGGTCTTAGAAAACTTAAAAAATGCTGATTAAAAACAAAACTTTGTTTTCCATAATAGGCACCTTAATATTTGCTTTTAGCAATTAAACTTACATTGACCCAAGTATGGCCACATTACCAGTCTGCACTGTGCTAAGAAAAGTCAGTTTTTTAAAAAGGTTATTTTCTGAGTTACAAAGCCTAGGAGTTCCATTTTCAGATCACTGTCATATTGAGTTGGCTGACGTGTAACTAGCACTATTAGTGACTGTTGGGGCAGAGGAATCTTTAATTTCTGTATTTCCAAATAACTAAGCCCGACCTGAACATTTTTCAACGGTGGATCTGATTAGCTCTTTAAAATAAGCATGAACCACCAGTAAGGCCAATTGCTTTCCCTCAGAATGGTGAAGTCCTTTTGGGTTTTAAACCCGTTTAAAAGTGCTAATCAGCCAAACCAAAAGTTAAGGTTTAACTTCTACACAAAGCACTAACACACTAAAAATTTCAGACCTACTTTTGGTTGACATTTATACTACTAGTACACTTCTACTTCTGAACATATTAAGTAACTAATACTAACAATTACCTACCATACTCCAGTATCACACACAGCAACCTTTGTAATTAATATGCAGGTTGGTTGTAGTGTTTTACTTGGGATTGTCTGATCAATTTAAACGTTTTTTTAAATACAGGAACTTTCCAGTGAGGCAGTTTACCTTCTACTGAGCCTCCGTTAATAAAAGTAGAGGGAAGTTGTAAGGACAGACTGTCCTGGAAAGAAGTGATCAATGAAGAAAACTACAACCTGAAATAAATGAACTGACACCTGGAACTGGGACCCAACAGCTAAGTACTGCACCCATCTTTCCCCCACCCTCTAAACCAGTGGTTCTCAACCTTCCTAATGCCACGACCCTTTAATACAGTTCATGTTGTGGTGACCCCCAACCATAAAGTTATTTTTGTTGCTACTTCGTAACTGTAATTTTGCTACTGTTATGAATCATGTAAATGCAGGATGTATTTTCATTGTTACAAATTGAACATAAAGCATAGTGATTAATCACAAAAACAATATGTAATTATGTATATGTTTTCCGATGGTCTTAGGCGACCCCTGTGAAAGGGTCGTTCAACCCCCAAAGGGGTCGCGACCCACAGGTTGAGAACCACTGCTCTAAACCAAGGCTACCCTGGAAAATCATCCAGATTAAAAGGCTGCAGACCACATCAAAATGTACCTGGAATTGTATAGGCTGGTGCCACTCCTAATCAATATAGAAGATAAAACAGACTGAGGGAGGAAAAAGAAAAATGGGTAAATAGTGCATGGAATGGGAGAAGAGCATTTGGAAAACACACACACACACACCAACACAAATTTGAAGTCAGTAAATAAAGTCTCTCTCCTAAAGTTTAAACAAAAAGGAATGAGAAAAACATCCAAGAGAATCAAACAGAAGGCCTACGAATGAATGGGAGTTAAGTGGGAGGCTGAAATCTCTCAAGAAAATGGTCCAGAATTAGAGACTGTGGAGAACAGACTCAGTCTAGCCAAGGCCCAGAACAAGATTATAAAACACATAAAATCTCAGAACCTGCAACACACACACACACACACACCCTACTCCTGGTCACATGCAAAATACATGAAGCCCTAGCTGGTTTGGCTGTGAATAGAGCTTTTTGGCCTGCAGTCTGAAGGGTCCCAGGTTCGAGTCCCGGTCACGTGCCCAGATTGTGGGCTCAATCTGGGGGAGGGGAGGGTGCAGCTGAGAAAGTAGTTCATTTTCTGTTCTGGTTAAATAGGGGGTCTGATGGACCATTTGGAAACACATTAGCATGGTTACAATTAACTACTATCAGGAGACAAGAAGGTAAAAGCACTAAATACATGAGAAGTAGATTGGTTAGCTGTGAGAAGCCTAACTACTTAGACGTATGGAACAGGGACTATTTCTCATGAGATTTTAGGATACTATTTGACACTTAATTGTGTACATTTATTTCTGACAAAGTATAAAGAGAATAAATAATAGAGACAGTGCTACTTTATTAAAATACTGAGTTTTATTTCACATGTATATTTTTGTCTCCCCACCATTCCCATTTGTCTGACCACTACTACTACTATGTCCTATCATAACATTCCATACATACTTAAAACCAAGCAAAGGGTGGAGTTCCATCTTTAAAAACTAAACAGGCATTTTGGACAACACATTCTTGGCAATGGGACCTGGACAACATTTATCAGACACGGTAGGGAAAGTTCTCACTCTGCATTATAAAAAGGACAGCCAGATATCAACTGTTACAGAAATGAAATAAGACGGAAAATTTTAACAAACTGTTTAAACTATTTTCTTAAAGAGACTTCCTCCACTGCCAGAGATCTTGAATAGCCTGGAAAAAAAAAAAAGAAATGTGGTTAAAGAACCACAGCACTTCACAGACAACCAATAAATTAAACCACGTCTCTCAACATACCCAGTTTTCATTCTACCACCAAAAAGGTTCACTCAAGATCAGCCGTGGGCAAACTACGGCCCGCGGGCCGGTTCCGGCCCATTTGAAATGAATAAAACTAAAAAAAAAAAAAAAAGACCGTACCCTTTTATGTAATGATGTTTACTTTGAATTTATATTAGTTCACACAAACACTCCATCCATGCTTTTGTTCCAGCCCTCCGGTCCAGTTTAAGAACCCATTGTGGCCCTAGAGTCAAAAAGTTTGCCCACCCCTGCTCTAGATAATTAAGATTTTTTTAAAAACTTATACAAGGAAAGTATCATTGTCAATTTCTACTTATAGATGATTTCTATAGGGCGGAGCAAAAGTAGGCTTATAGTTGTGAATATGCAAAACACAGGATTCTTGTATTATAATTTACTGTAAAGTAATTACATTTGTCCCACCCTGTACTTGTTCTCATGCTGGTCATTAGCAACATCCATGTAAAAATAAAACTGTTCAAGCGATACAAAAATCCATTTCATGAGTCATGGTAAGTACAGTATAATCTACTTCAAGATGGCATTTTTCTACTCATAAACAATGTTCTTTTTAAAGAACAGTCTTGATTTTTTTTTCAGCTCTTAATTCAAGAGTTTCTGCAGAAATTTGCTATTTCTCAAAGTCCATCTGGAAGGGATTTTACTAGCCAAATCCTCACAAGCAACACTTTTTTATACGGAAAACTGCGTGCACAAGCAATGGGAAATTTTTTATGGTGCCTACTTGCATCGGTAGCTATGCCATAAAAACATGAGACATTTAGTTTGATCATCTCTGTAGTAGTAACCTGAGCTATTACATTCTTTGCTATTGTAGAAATTTCATCCTGGTACTTTTCAGAAAACAGTGAAGAAAATACTTGGAGTCAGAAAATACTTCTGTTAGCAGTGAGTTCATGGTTTCAGCTGCAAGACTGATGTTACGCTGTGTGGACGGTCCTTGCACCTTTATCACTTTTTGTCTTCACCTGAATTTCTCTTAATCAAAAATCCCAGTCTGCCACTTTCCTCAGTACAGAGTGAAGAAATCCTCTCTCTCTTACAGTTACCTGCTAGTACATGCTGGTTTCTGACTTTCCACCATTTCAACATTAACAACCGCATACAGCAGTTTTCAAAATGTTTATTAATAAGTGTCAACTATTCAGAAAACTTTCAGAATTTTGAAGTTCACATACACACACACACACACACACACACCAGAACAGCCAGAAGAATAAAAATGGTTGAACTTGATCATCTCCGAGCCACCAAGTCAATCAAAGCTGAACTCACAATCAACCAACCATAAAGTGTTTAACTATTGAAAGGGTTTCAAATCTGAGAAAAATAGTGTTGCAATTTATGTAATTTAAATACCAAATATTGTGGTAGAAAAATAGCTGACAAATTCTTTATTAAAAAAGCTGAAAAGACTTAGGGAGCCCCAACAGAAACAAACCTTAGGCTATGTCTGGTATATACACAATACCTAGTAACCCTATGTAACTAACTTTTGTTTTCCTTTACAACTTATGAGTCACTAACTGTGAACGAGACAAAAATTAATACATCATTTTCCATTGTTAAAATACCTTTACTTGTAAGAACAGAAAGTCTACGTTGACTCAAGCTAAAATATCGAGCATTAAGTACAATTTGGTTTCTTGCTTCCAGATTTTAAACTTTAGGTTCATTTCAGCAAAATGTGCTTCCCATAAGATCTATGGAGAAATGGGTTCCCTCTGCCAACTCACAGGAAAGCGAAAGGCCAGACTGCCCAAGCAGCCAAGTGGAGCAGCAAGGAAAGCCACAGCTCAGGTCCTTAGCCAACATAGTACCAACAGTAAAACTGAGCTCACTGACAAAGAGGTAATTTACCAACTATATAAAAGTTGGGGAAAAGATATTTAAAAAGTTATCTTCTCAGTCTCTGCCAACTAAATTCTTAAGCATTTCCATGTATTCAATCTGAAGTATTGTCTGTGGTTAGGAATCTTTTAAAAGCAGCCAAGATTTAAAGAGACTAAAAGAATCATAATAAATCACAATAAAAAAATTTGGATTAGGTCATGTCTTGAGAAAACTCGGTTACCTCCACGTCAGTCATCCGGAAGCAATTCTTCACATAATTAATGAACTTGGCTTCCACTTTGGGAAGAGAACCACCCTATTGAGACAAAAGCATTATTAAGGGTAAGTATATAAGCACTATTTGTAAGTTGTTATGAAATTCCTCATATTTGCATGCTATTATTACATGGATCATCAGTTCATTCCTTGTCCCTCCAATTCTTTAAAACATTGACTACATCTGGGTCTTTCAGGTCCAGAAAGACCTACTGAGCAACTCTTAGGACCTAGGTCTTTCATATCACTCCCATACTGACCAGCTTTGCCAGTTTTAAATTCTCTCCCAACTTTTAAAGTAAATATAAAGTACAAGCCATGCTTGAGATTCTTCAGGCACTCAAATGTCAACTTGACTGCCCGCTATATAATCTAACAATTCAGTTTTATCACCACCCTCATCCACCCAGAACCAAATAGGAAACAAAGCAAATACACACCCCTTTTCAGTACCATATACACGTCACCAAAACTGTTAATAGATCACTTTAATACGTACTAAGAACCTAGGCCCAGCACAATACTAACCTGAGTCAATTCAGGGAGCATATGAATGAGGGGAAAATTAACGTGACATTTCATTCATCTCAAACTAAAGTTTAGCATTTCCTTCAATTATGGGCACAAGGAAGAAACTATAATAGTGTTAGCACCAAATTATTTTCTAAGAATTACAATTATGAAATCTTTATCACTACTTTGGAATTATTTAATGTGCAACTAAGTATATCACCTTTGTTTCCTATTTTGATAATTAAATTATTTTCCCCAGTAACTTGAATCCTTTTATGCACTTTAAAAATCAAAAGACTTCAGGAATGCTAAAGGGACCATGGCATGAAGTAGGTTAGGGATCAGGTATGATATATTATACTTAATTGCCTCTATCACCTAGAAAGTAATTTCCATTTTTAAATTATTGTCACATACATTCTTCATTCATTCATTCAAATATTTATTGAGCAGCTAGGGAGACACAAAGGTGTTTAAAACGTGGTCAAAGAGGCGAGATAAATGAACAAGTCAAGAAAAGTTCACTGAATCACAGCAAAAGAAAGGTGTCTTTCAAAGGAGCCTGAGATTGCTTCCAGCCTGGAAGGGGGCATGGGTGAGTGATAAACCGGGAAAGGGCATTGAGATTAAGATAGAAGACTTCAGTCTGGATTGTTGATGATACACTCAGTATGGACTATATTTGTCTCTCCT